TTGTATTATAAATATTTAAAACGGAAAAAAAAAATGTATTCACAATGTAAGATATTTACATATTATTATTGTAACATTCACAAATCATATTTAATCATTATTATATCATCTTACATACATAAATATTATAATCATTTAAACTAACATATCATGAAATTGTTTGATTCTAACCCAAATTAAGCTTTGATTCAACGAGTAAAACAAAACCTAAATAATTAAACCAAATTTTGTAGGAGCATCATTTTTCATTTTGTATTGATATCAGATAATATAATGTTTTATGGGTAGTTCACTTATTCTGAGCAGTTTACATGAAATGACTCGGGTGGGATCCATGTGAACATACAAAAATGCAAAATATTTGTCTTTAATAACATACAAAAAATTGTTTTATTTTTCTTTTAATAATCGAAGGAGCTTGATTTTTTGACACTATTAATGAACTAATTATGAACTAAGTAGATTGAGTTGAGCTGAAAAATGATTGAACGAAACATTTAGCTGATTGTTGAAGTGAAAACAAAACTGAAAGATAACAGATCTGAGAAACGGTGTTCAAACTTCAAAACTCCTGAAGTAACCTGTTACCGTTATTTATTATAAGAGTTCCATTCCCCTAAAGTTTGGTTTATGTTAGAATATCTGTTTGATGAAAAGTACGATTCCTTATTATTTCAAAATTTTGACATTGAAGGGTGTTTACTGTTTAGTGCCTCTTCCTCTCTTCCCCTCAGAGGAAGCAGGTAGGAACTCCTTCCACCCAAATCTGTAAAGTTTGCATCTTTTTCCCTTCTTTACTCATTCTGCATTTGTTTCATCCTTTATCATCTTGTGCTTTTTCTGGGCTTTGTAGTGAGGTATAAATAACTAAACCAAAATGCCTATAAGGAACAGAGGAGGGGCTTTAGAACTGAATGCAAGAACCGTAATTCCTAGGAAATGGGCTCTTTTGCTTTGCATTGGAAGCTTCTGTGCTGGAATGTTCTTCACCAATAGGTACTTTTGCTTCTGGATTTCTACATTTGGGCATCAATTTTCAATTTTTAGTTATTCTCTAGTTTTTGAGTTTCAAAACTGAAATTTTGGTTGTGCATGCTGTTAAGCTCAGAGTTTAAGAATCTGGCAGATTTAGCTGGAATGTTTTAGAGAATTGCCTAATTTTGGATGAACTGTTCTGCTAAATTGAATTAGATTAGTATGGGGCTGTGGGGTTATATCTTGAATAGTGTCATTGGTTTGGAACTTTGAACTAAATTGCTCGTGCAATAAACTTTATGCGTTTTATGTAATCTAAGGCCCAATACGATAAATATGTGTTCAAATGTTCAATCTCTATTGTATTTGTGGAAAAGTCTTAGGCAAGCTCACTTTGGTAATCTTCATGCCTCCAACTCAAAGGGCTTAGTCCTCGGCCATTGGCTGCAGGACGCCCTTGGTGCACACACACAAAATGTGTGCCTTCTGCATTCATGATGCCCAAAGGGATGGGTTGGCTCACTCTCTCTATGTCTGTTTCTATAATTGTAGTTACTGAAAATCCTGAAATTACATTGGAGTGAGCCTAATTCAATGAAGTGTTTTCTGATGTGGCATGACCTTTTCATCCCCTATTTATTGACCTTTGTTCTTGCAAGTTTGGGAACAGATATCCCCTTATAAAGATAGGTTTCTAAATCAAGTGTTCAAATTATCTGCTTCTACAATCAGAAAATGAAGATAGTAAATTTAATTTTTTTGTCAAATTTGTACTCTATTGGTACATTAGATCTAAGGTGAGGAGCTATCAGCCAATGAACATTATAATATATTTGTACTGCTAACAAGAAATTTTGCATCAGGATGTGGTCGATGCCTGAATGTAAAGAAATTTCAAGAACTTCTAGTGAGGTTGAAAAAATAAAATTAAATCCCGAAGGTTGTAATCTGAATCTTGTAAGTGCATCAGTTACACTTCTTACTCGAATCAGATTTTTGCTATGATTCTGTCATACTTTTTTCCTATCCGATGTTACGTAAACTCTAATTTAACTCCTGGAATTTGTGGCACTCTTGTAAGTTCCCATCCTATGACATGATCAGGAATTTAAATAAAAAATGAAGATAATTGAAGAAGTTATACACTTCCCCCTTGTTTTCTAGTTAGTTAATTAGTTCCGTATTCATACACACTCTCACGTCATGGCTTGGGGAAAATTTCATTACCCGACCTCCATTTTTTTTGGAATTTTATTCGATAATAAGGAATGAATACTGCTACAATGTGCTGACTGTTTCATTCACTGTTTCTTTAAAGTTTCTAGCTCAGGCCTATAAGTTTTAGGTGCATCTTCTGTTATTTACCAAAAAATGTGATTGTGATATTCTTTTTCTTACTTTTTGCCTGTCCATAGGCTGTAAAGACTAACTCCAATTACACTCGAGCAGATGTTTCAAATACACAGAATGTTATCAAGTAAGCAAATCCAATGCATGTTTACACTGGATTTACTCATGCCTATCAAATAACTTTAATGCTGAACCGAATGCTATATATGAATTGCAGGAAAGCGAGTAAGACAACATTTACTTCGGAGCTGAATCTTAAATTTGCTTTGGTATGCTGTTGAGTTTATGCTGGATGTTCTCCTGTATCAGGAAAGTCAGAGAAAGTTGAATCAACTTCAAGGAAAAAATATTTCATGGTTATAGGAATCAATACAGCTTTTAGTAGCAGGAAGCGAAGAGATTCTGTTCGTGAAACTTGGATGCCACGCGGTGATTCAATGATGTTTCAGCATTTTATAGTTTTTCCTTTCTTAAAAATTCTCTTTTAATATGCTTATGTTATCCACATGTATCATCTATCTGATCCATGGTTTCTAATGAATGTCATCAGCTGAGGAAAGAAAGAAGTTGGAAGAAGAAAAGAACATAATCATACGTTTTGTTATAGGTCACAGGTCAGAGTCAATACATCTCTGGATATTCACTATAGTTTTTTAATTTGCTTATATATTTATGATAATTTTGATGATGCTGAATTCCCATACAATTTGCTCATGACAACTTTGTTGTGTGGCCTTAACATCCTATTATTTCAAACTGGTAACTGATATTCTCTCATTCTGATGCTTTATTATTTCTATCAAACAAGGTTCTTTGTATGTGTAGATTAGTAGTATAAATATTTCAGAACAATGTTTTAGTTGAAGAAACTGTGAATAACTGTTTTTACATAAAATCATGAAACGTTGGGGCTAGCAGCCTTGATGAATTATTGAATTCATATTTTATTGGGGTGTTAAATTAACAGATTAACTATTAGTTACCCTTTTTTCTTTTTATAGTTCTACATCTGGTGGCATTCTAGATAAAGCAATTGAAGCAGAGGAGAAACTTCATGCTGACTTTATGAGGCTGGTGATCTTTCTCCCATGTCCTTTTCATTTAAATGTGTAATCCTATATCCTTTTTATATTGTGTTGACTTATTATTGTTGAGGAATCAAAATGCATGCCAGAACCATGTTGAGGGCTACCTGGAACTATCGGCCAAGACAAAGGCATACTTTTCAACTGCTGTTGCTTTGTGGGATGCAGAGTTTTATGTCAAAGTTGATGATGATGTCCATGTCAATCTAGGTAAATAGAAAGATTCTTCAGTGTTTATAGTTGATTACTTTCCTCATTGATTATTTTTCTTTTAATCTCAGCAACACTTGGATTGACTCTGGCTATGCACCGTATGAAACCTCGAGTGTATATTGGGTGCATGAAATCCGGTCCTGTCCTTGCTCAGAAGTAAGAAAATATGTAATTTATGTTGCCAGTTAGTTTAAATCCATTTCCTAGTGTAACTGTGTTATTACCACAGGGGAGTGAAATACCATGAACCAGAATACTGGAAGTTTGGGGAGGTGGGAAACAAGTACTTCCGTCATGCTACTGGACAATTATATGCCATTTCAGGAGAATTGGCTACTTATATATCAATGAATCAGTAAGTTTTGTTTTCCTTGCTTAGAACTAAGTGTTGAAGCACATAAGGGGAGGGGGTGTTTTTGGATGTTAGTGAAATTATTTTATTGTATTTGTATATTAATTGAATAGGAAACTAATTTGGCATAAGTTAGTTGTTTAAGGGTTGATGAAAGATTGAATTTATAAATGTCAGGGATGTGCTGCATAAGTACGCGAATGAAGATGTTTCTTTGGGGTCATGGTTTATTGGTCTAGAAGTGGATCATGTTGATGATAGGAGAATGTGCTGTGGTACTCCCCCTGGTATGTTTGTTATGAATTTGGTGATAATAATATATTTAGAAGGGAATAATTATGATTGGTTGTTGCAGATTGTGAGTGGAAAGCACAGGCAGGGAACATATGTATAGCATCATTTGATTGGAAATGCAGTGGCATTTGCAACTCTGTTCAGAGGATCAGGGATGTTCACCACCGTTGTGCTGAAGATCCTATAACACTTTCGACTACTACCTTTTCATGATTATTATCATTATTATTATTACACTAGCAACAACCAATCCAATTCTTTTGTTCTCTGCCATGTCATAATAATATAGATAAAACCCACCAAGATGACATTTTAAACACCAGAAAATATTTCCAAATTCTATTTGACTAGAAAGTTCTTCAAACATAAAAGCAAGAGAAAGATTATAGATTGTGAGGCAGCAACTATAATACCAAGTTGTCAAAAAGAGATGGAGCTTTAAATAGAAGCAAAGTAAACATAAAGAAAGATTGATCCACCCTCTAATGAAGTCCCTACAGCCACCAAAAAAGGAAAAAGGTGTTAAACAAAATTCTTACCTACCATACCAAATTCATTTCTATCCCCACACAAAGAAATTGATCATATCATACTGAGGGGCACATTAAAAATAAAGGTAAATAAATTGACATTTACATACAATTTCCATTGCTGCTCTTGAACTTAAGACACATGCCGAAAACAACCTTTATGTTGCTGTGCTGCAGTTTGGTAAAGAGGTGAGAAATTGTGTTTGCCCGTGATATTGGCACGGCTCAATCAAATAACACAGAGCTTTTTGGAATGAATGAATATAAAGCAATGCCTTCTGATTGAACCGTACCAATATCTCAGGCTCTTAATTGTAACCACAGACCACCACTTTATATCATCATGCATGTTCCTGCATTTCTCTGAAGAAAAAGAAAAAACATTCATTAATCTATATAGGTGACAAGAAAAACTTACCCTCATGCTCATGCATGGTAACACTAACTGCAATCCATGATCACTAGAAAATATTATTCTCTGAAAGCAGAAGCAGGTAAAACTTTGCGTGACTAGGTTATATATTTATGCTTAAGAAGAAACAAAGAATAGTGAAGAAGGTGGCATGTTTCCATGGGGTATCTAGATGGTGTTTCCTGTTAGATTCTTAAACATTAAATGGATGAGAGAGGGTTAGGACAGTGACAGAGAGATGAAGAGCTAGCTTTAAATATGTTAACATTTAATTTTCCAACAACTCAGCACAGGGAGTAGGAGGTGGCTGGCAACAATGCAACATTAAATAAATATGTTGATAGTGGAAACAATTGGAGAAAGGCATATTTTGAAATATCACAAGCAGAGAATAAGGTAAGTGAGACAAGACATTGAGTTGTTGCTTCTTCTAGGCCTTATATTTATGAGCTTACAAGCTAAGTTGGTCTTATGCCAATTACATTTGAAATTAAAATAGGAAATAGCTTTTAGAAAGTGAGTCAGTGGTTGGTGTGAAATTGTGAACTTAATTAGTGGTGTGATTTGATTCAGTCTAGCTCATCTCACTCTCAACTAGCACTTTTTCACTGTTCAACCAAATTAATTTGGAATCAAAATGAACAAGTTTGGATTCTTAGGCATCAAGCAGATCATTACTTTTTTCCACATTCAAAGGCAGGGATATCTGTAAGTGGAGTTAGTTAAAATTTTAAAAGAGAAATAGTTTTCCCACATAAATCCAATAGAGGAAGCTCACAGGAAAGCAAGAAAGTATAAACAATATATAGCAGATTTTTATTTGGTTTTATTTATTTAACAGCAGAGGATTTACTTGTCCATTTCATGTTATTCATAAAAAGAAAATAAAACATTCAAAAGAATATTAAAACTCTGTTGTTCCTTTTCTTTGTTGGTTTTTAGTACATAAATTAGTCGTTGTTTAGTTTACTTATATGATTATTTACTTTGATGAAAATCTCTTATTTCTCTAACCCTAAACAATCCAATTGTATACAAGGTTGAATATTGATTCTAGGTATAATTTTAAATAGACACACATTTAAAGAAAGAGCTAATGGTGCAAGCATGCATGAAGTTGAATAATAATAATAAAAGGGTAGCATATTAGTTAGCATGCATGCATGGCTGGGACCCTGTAAATTGTAATCGTGATTAGTTGGGTGTAGGATCTTTCCGCCAGAAGTGCCCATGAATAAGGGAGAAATTTGATCCATGCATATTGGTCAGTTTTAATTTACACACTAGGCTTGCCTTTGTTTTAATAATTATTGATCCAAACCTTTACTCAAAAGCTCTTTTACTTTTCCTTTTATTTTGCCAAACTTGGTTGATCTCGCACACAATATTAATGACTTCCTGTGATTGCATTGAGCTTTCAACAATTCAAACAATTCAAACAATATTTGAAGTCATGTATTAAAGATATTTTAGAGTTTTTTTTTGTTGAAGATGATTAGGTGGTTAGGTAGTTAGGAGTGGAAGATATTTTGTTAACTTTGCATCATTTATTTTTGCTTGGATCACAAACCATTTCATTTTGTATAAATAAGTCATATTGGCTTTACATTTTCAATCAATGGGACGTTGTTTTCTTTCTCATCTTTCTTGTTCATCAAGAAGATCTTTTCCACATTCTCTTGTTATAAAATATTAAACAAAATTGATTAAAGAAGTCCACAAATTGCAGCAAACTTAACTGCAGATTCAATCTCTAGCTACCAGACCACCCTTTCCTGTTCTGATTACATTGTGATCGTGGAATTGCTGGGCTGAAACTATAGTTGTAGTGTCTTTGCAGAAACTATTAAAACTGCAATACTGTAATTGTAGTTGTGTTTGCCAATTGGAATTTGAAATGTTGATTCCCAAAACAGTTTTTTATTCTTACATCTGAAATCCCTTACGGTCCCAGATTCTGGTTGATGATGAGTAATTTAGTAACTAACAATTAGTTAAGAGACTACCATTTTTTTTTCTTAATTAGTTAAATAATCATATATGCAAAGTTAACCAATAAACTTTTCGTCATTAACTGGTGATTCATAAAACAAATACAAATTGGTTTGGTATTAGCTTAGGTGTAAGATTTCAAGTGTAGTGGAAACATTTTCTGACCCCGAATGATGTGCATTGAAGTCCGACATGAACACTCCAATTCTAGCTGGAATTCCAGATTAGACAAAAGGGTTGGCCAAATGTCAAGTCCAAATAAATACCCTCATAAGGGTGTTGTGTTTTTCTTATGTTTTATACGCCATGTCTCCAAATAAGTGCTGTTTTAGTACTCCATAGGGAAATTAATAATATTGCTCTAAAAACATGAAGACGTGCAGATTCCTTAGAATTTCAGGCCATAATTGTATATCAGACGCAGATTTTTCTGTTAAAATTGAATTTTTTACGCCACTTGGTTACACTTCTATTTGACAAACAACGGGAAACATATGTGTATGTGTATATATCAGTCATGTACTTTGTTTCTAGCTCTAGTCCCATACTAATAAAACTAAGGTAGTAGTAAATTGCTGGCAACAAAGATGAAAATGCAACATGATTGATGTCATAGGCATAGCTGAATCGTAGTGGTAAAAAAGGAAGAGAAAAGGTGAAGCTTCTTAGGTGAATTTATAGCTTTATGTAATATAACTGGGAAAGTAACCAGAAAAGTAGGGAAACTCTTATTCTTGAGCAGAACCACCCTGTACTTCATAGCCACGATATGTCCCTATCCTCATGTAAAATAATGTCTGTTCTTTCAGCTCCTTTTACACTAGAAAACAAGCTCAGTTGAGCAATGTATGTCTACACTATAACGTGCAGCTCCTGCAACTGATATCCCACCTCGTTTTATCACCTTTCTTTTCATAATAGCTAGCTAATAAAATTCCACTATTTATTTTGAACTAGCACCTTCAATTTAGTGTTATACAATGAATCCTCAGACAGTGTTCCCAGGTGCAATAAAGTGCCCAACATGGCTCATTGAATATTCTAACATAACACACCAATAGAGCAATAACGTACCCTTTGAGTAAAGCCATAATATCTATGTATTGTGATTAACAAACCTGAAGAAGATTACCTGAAAAATATATAGTGGGGTTGGGGTGTAGTTAATGGTATCAAATACAGAACGTTTCAATATATATATATATATATATATATATATATATATATATATATATATCAATACTGCTCGTACTCCTGCCAACAAAGTAACATAATAATGCACCTCTTTACTATATAGAGCCTTGACCTCTGTTCTTTAACTGCTTTCAGGAACTTCTTCTTCATGCTTGAAGCCTCTTCACAATGACATGCTTGTGTGGAACTACTTGAAGGGGCGGTAGAATAAGAGTTATCCATGTTCCTGTAATTTTGTGAAGTAGTAGGCCTAAGAGAGCGATTTTAACGACTGTATCCACAAGACCCAGCTCAAACATATGAATGAATGAGAGTTAAAGAGGAAGAGCGTGAAGAGAAAAAGAGAAGTGGGGGCAATAGCAATGTATGAAGTATGAATTAGTAATTAGTGTGGAGTGACATTGTGGTCCTGGTACTATCTGACTAAGACACTGGCCCTCCAACTAGTTTCTGGATTCACCCGTGAGAATGCCATGCATCTACTTGATTAATCCAACTTTGATTGAATTCCATGTTTCCAAAACATGATCACCTCAAACTACCTATTTATTAATACTTACATATAAGCAATTTAACTTGAAGTTTTCAAACTCGTTTATTTTTCTACACCACATGATACATCGAATGTGATCATTACTAATTATAAACGAGATACAAGGATCAAATTAGTGTAATTGGTAGAAGTTGTTAATAATGCAGCGATTGGATATAACATATCCTGCTATATATAAGTTACTATTTGAAAATTGATCTAGCAAAAATGGGTTTCTTGAAGTGCAGTCTGCAGCTGATTATCATTGTGTGAATTTAGTGGTGAAAGTGAGAGCCAAGCCTTAGTTGAGTGGATAGGCCCGCCACCATAACTTTAATCATTTGACATGGTCGAATTAATTAGGTAAATATATAACCATCTCACGACCCAAGTGGAGAATTATTGCAGGGAGGTTCACCTTCCTGTTTACTCTGTTAAAGACTATGATTGTTTATCAGAACCATATCAACTATTTGATTAAGCAAAACAATGACCCATTTTCCTAAAAAGTGTCTTTAGCAATCAATCATGCAGTTTTGGGCAAAACAGTGAGCCGTTAATTCCATTTCTAAACAGTGTCTTCATCAAGAAGCAACCGCTTATGGCATTCAATCGAGCTTAACTGAATAAAAACACCTTCAACTAGTTAAAACTGGAAGAAAATTACAAAAGTTGTATCTACCAATAGCATAGTCCTGAGTTAGAAGTGCACACAGACTTAGATCTTGTTTTATTTAAGTTGATGCACTCTTTCTCTTACAAAGGCTTTTAATCCATTTGACACAATTTGTGACAGATGCTTTGGCTTTGGTGAGACCACTCGAATTCTTTTTCTGGGTGATGTCTTTTTGGGATCTAGTGTCATTATCTTCCATGGCACCAATACCACCAGCACCCCACTGTTCAGCCCAACTTGGTGCTTCGCTTGTCATCTTTCCTGCTTCCTTAAACATCATAACAAGGACATACATAGTAACAACTATTACTTAAACTTCGCTATAGAGTATTTCATTTCATGCTAATATAATCAAAAGCTTTTCATATAAAAAGAAACAAGGGCTCAAATAAATCATTGCTATAAAACAAATCTTGGAAGATGAAGCCTAATCCTCCAAAACTGAACGTTCAAGTACTTGTCTTGCAAATACATATGTTACAACATCAACCGGGGATGTGTCCATGAATCATAATCTACACAATATAAAAATTACAAGACCCGTGTGTTAAAACTAGGGAAAGATTCAAATATACAAATGTTTGGCAAGTGTTATGAGTTGAAAACTTGAAACAGATCAGAAACTATTAGAGGCGGGAGTAATACCTTCAATGACTTAACTGGAGTTGGATGCAGAAGATTTGAGAAGCTTCAGGATGGAGTTTAATGGGACAGAGGGAGTACTGAACTAAGTTATAGCTATATAGAGGGCTAACTAGCCATGTTAGATGGCCTGGCCTATCTATCACACTCCCTCTTTCTTATTCTAATTTAACTAATATATTTTTCACAATTGGACTAGACAACTCACCTATTTGAGTATTCCCATGTGATTAAGCAAAGTATGTGTGGTACATATTTAGTTTTCAATACTCAACTTTATCATATATAGTAGTGGATCAATACTTTGGCTAGCACTCTTCAGTTTGTTGTCCCACCAAGTACACTCAGTTTTGTTAATCTTAGGTAATA